ATAGGGAGTGTGTCGCTCCCGAATTAAACAACACTAAAAGGGAATACTTGTCACCATGCAATTACCTCTAACCGGATCATCAACACCTGTTGTCCCCGCGCCGCTAGGGGTAACCACTCGACCATGGTTCCTTGCCCCCTCAACATGAGTGACATTAAGTCTCTGATCTAGCTTGGAACAAAACCTTTTAATGTGCCCCAACTCCTTGCAGTGGAAACATCCATTTCCCGATCCCGGGCATGTACTACCATAATGGAGTCTACCACATTTGTTGCACATGGGAGTAGAAACCCCTTCGGTAGGAACGGTAAGTGGTCTAGACCTTGGGAAATTTCGGTCACGATGTACAGTAGTTGCCGCATAAGGTTTCCGGTCATCTTCCACTCTCTCTTTGCCTCCCCCTTGCCTATGGTTGCGGTGGGGTCCATAGTGTAACACCCTAACTTTAAGTATTTAAAATTATAGTATCAGTCTTGGGATACTCGCTTGAGCGAGGTATTCTCGCATGGGCGAGAAAGGCTCACCTGGGAGGGTGAAATCCTGGGCTATACTGCAGGATTCTCGCCTGAGCGAGAGTTGTCTCGCCTGGGCGAGAAATGGCATTTTGGGACTGTTGAGACTGTGATATTCTTGCTTGAGCGAGAATCCCTCGCTTGAGCGAGAGGGTCAGATCTGAGTTTTTAAAATAGGCGGGATTTTCTCGCTTGAGCGAGAAAGGGCTCGCTGAAGCGAGAACTCGACGCTGTTACATTAAATAGGGGACCCCAAACACATTTATGGGGGTTAACCTAGAGAGAAGTGAGAGAATGGAGCATTTTCAAGAGCAAGAAGGCTTGTGAGTCATTTAGAAGATTTAGAAGAGGTAAATCTCTTGATTCTAACTCTCTTTCTCTCTTTCAAACTCATTGTGGAGTGTAAAGGATCTCTTCTCCAAATGTGAAAAACCATGGAAACTCATCCTTTTGAGTTATGGTTCATTTTATGTTGTTTCTCTCTTGTAACTCTTGGTTTAGAGTTGGTATTTCAAGAATAGAACGAATTTGTGGGTTGGTTCATGAAAACCCCAAAACCCTAACATTGAGAAAATATGAGTAAAGAGGGAAATGGGTGAAATGTTAGAGGTAGAAGATGAGTATGTATGTTTTAATGTTTAGAAACTTGTAATGAAAATAGTTTTGGGAAAACATTGAAAATACGTGAATATCCTGTGTAGTTGTGAATGTTATATGAATCATAGGAACATTATTGTGGATAAATTACTAACTTTTATTGTATTGATGGGATGATGGAAGATCCTAAGGTTGGAGGCGGTTCGGAAGGAACTAGTAAAGTTAACAAGAACCCCACCCAACACTCACCAAGGTAATGGATAAGTATCTTCATTATATTTAAGATGATGCAACTATATTATGCATGTAAAATGATGTGGTTGTGATATAATGTAAAATGGATCACCTTTGTGGTGTAAGTGTTGCCCATAGTGGTAATGGATCACCTTTGTGGTGTAAGTGTTGCCCGTAGTGGTAATGGATCACCTTTGTGGTGTAAGTGTTGCCCGTAGTGGTAATGGATCACCTTTGTGGTGTAAGTGTTGCCCGTAGTGGTAATGGATCACCTTTGTGGTGTAAGTGTTGCCCGTAGTGGTAATGGATCACCTTTGTGGTGTAAGGGTTGCCCGTAGTGGTAATGGATCACCTTTGAGGTGGGGAACTGCCGGTTGTGGCAATGGATCACTTTTGTGATGTAGACTTACCCTTTGTGGTATTGGATTATCTGTGTGGTGTACACGGATGGAACATGGGTAAATATGAGAAGAATAGATATGCACATTATAGAACATGTATATTATGGGATATATATGTACTATAAGGTGAATATGGATAATGATGAGAAGAATAGATATGCACATTATAGAACATGTATATTATGGGATATATGTGTACCATGAGGTGAATATGGATAAAGATGAGGAGGATAAATATGCACATTATGGAACATGTATATTATGGGATATATATGTACTACAAGGTGGATATGGATAAAGATGAGAAGAATAATATGCACACTATATGATATGTATATTATGGGATATATGTGTACTATAGAGTGAATATGGACATTATGGAGACAAAAGATAAAAGATATGAATGGATATGTTCATGTAATTATGAATTGTGTTTTATATTCAATGTTAAATTGTGTTTTAAAATGTGGATTACCATATGACGATGACTATTAAATCAATGACTTACCCCCTTGTATGTTTCGTGTATCTGTTATCGATAATCCCAATGCAGGTGAACAAATGTATTGAGGATACTCGGTTCGACGCTTAGGATCTTGAATCTAGACTTTCTCTAGTTTGATTTTTGGACTATAACTAATTAATCGATATTTGGATAATTGTAAATCCTGATTTGTATAACTCTGGATATTAGTAGCTATGGATATTTTGAAATTCCATAGCTAGTTGTATGCGTTGGTTACCAAGAATTATTTATATGAATTATGATTTTCTGTCAAGAGTATGACCACAAAAGAGAATTAGGAGAATGTCATTAGATTTATTAATCTGAGATATTAAGGAAATGCATGTAAATGAGATAGAATAAGGAAAAATTTTCAAGGGTAGAATTTGGGTCCTTACATGAACCAGTATAAAACACATGTGTACTCTCTTCTCCTTATCTTTGTTTTATTTCTACCTTCCAAAGTCAATATTTTTTTGCATACTATTTCCGCTGCATTTTAACTTTGATATTGCAGAAAAATTGGCCTCGTTTTGCAACAACAAATCCACCCCCTCTTAGTTGCAATCTCATTCTTACAATATGAAGATGGACTGTCCAAATCTTAAAAGGAATTATTTCAAAGGGAAGAATGAAATGACGACTGGACGGAGAGCCTACATTGCTTGGGAAGACAATGATACAAGGTACACCTCAGAACCAGAAAGTGAAGAGCAAGCACATCTCTCATTAATGTCATCTCATCACTCTGATGATGAAGATGTAAATGAATATAACCTATTTTCTTCCACTGAACTACAAACTACATTTAATGATTTGCATGATGAATATGTGAAATTAACAAAAATGTTTCTAAAACAAAAAACTGAGTTAGATGTTTTAAAGACAAACCTTCATCATCTTCATGTCAAAAATGTATTACTCTTGAAAATAAAATATCAACGTTAAGTCTTGAACTTAATAAGATGAACAAGAGTAGCAAAAGTCTGAGTAAGATCATTGATGATCAAAGACACTCAATAGACCGAAGAGGTCTTGGCTATTCAAAAAGCCATGTTCCTAAGAAACAAAGTGTCTCAACTAAGATAAACTTTCAAAAACAAAGTATCCATGCATTTGAACATAGTAATCATAAGACTAGGATACATAAGCATCAACCCACATGTACATATTGTAAATGCCATGGGCATACACCAAATACTTGCATGATTAGAAAATATGGTGTACCCCTAGGTCATTATAGATGGGTTGAGAAAGGTACTAACCATGTAGGACCTAAGAAAAATTGGGTACCTTGTGACACCCTAAATTTAAAAGTTATTAAATTATAATATCTGTAAGGACCCAAATTCTACCCTTGAAATTTTTTCCATATTTAATCCAATTTCATGCATTTAACGATAAATTTAATTACCGAGTGAATGAACTTATTTAAAAGATCTCACTTCCTTCCTCACACCCAATCTATAAACAAAAAGTAACATACCAAATCAAATAGCAGAAAAACATAATTCGTATTAATGTAACTAAGTAACGACCGCATACAATTAGCTATGGGTTTCCAAAACACCCATAGCTAAATATATCCCGAGTTACTAGTTTCCATGATTAATACCATGTACAATCATGTTCATAGTTACAAAATAGTTAGTTCAAGTACAACCAATGAGGTTACAAAAGAATGGATAAGAGACATCAAAATAAATGTCTCTAAGCTCCTAATCAAAAACACCCATACTCCTTCTACCTACCTGCAATGGGATTAACATTGACAATACACCAAGAAACACAAAGGAGTAAGTCGTTAACTCAACAAATATCAATGTAAGTTAATCCACATTTAATAAGGTTAAATAAACAGTTTAAAATCAAGTTTACTTAAAAGCCAATTTCAACGTTCATACTTTTGAAAACCATGCTACATAACTTGAGCCAAACTTTGCTACATTGCTTGATCCAAAGCTTGCTACATTACTTGAGCCAAAGTTTGCTACATTGCTTGAGCCAAAGCTTGCTACATTACTTGAGCCAAAGTCGCTAACCAATCATGGTCGGCTAAAAACGAGTTTTATTTCCATTGGCACTCCACCAATATATTTTCCGAGTTTTATTTTCATTGGCACTCCACCAATACAAAAAACAGTAAATGCACCCGACATCATTACAAACATATAGATATATTCTTTTAACTACAAAGTGATTTACGATTTATTTCATTTCTCCGAATTTTATTTCCATTGGCACTCCACCAATACATAAACGGTAAATCCACTCCTCGTTGTTACAAGCATACCCATATATGCTTATAACAACTAAGTGATTTACGGTTCATTGCATTATTCTGAGTATTATTTCCATTGGCACTCCACCAATACATAAACGGTAAATCCACTCCTCGTTGTTACAAACATACCCATATATGCTTATAAAAACTAAGTGATTTACTATACAGTTCATTATCCACATCAGAAAATCCACACATTTTCTATCACAATGCATAAGTTAAAGACTTATCCTTACCTCGGTGAGTGTTGGGTTTGGGTTCTGGGCAACTCCTCAAGTTCCACCGACACCGCCTCCAACTTTAGGATCTTTCCTCATCCCACCATATAACACAATGTTAGTCATTTATTCCAAATATCATATAAACAACTTATATTGCATTATTTAATCATACGAGATATCTATCATATTTTCGATATTAGAAACTTACGAAGTTGCCCCTGATAAATGAATCAACTTATTAATCTTCGATATTTTCGATATTAGGATCCTTTCGATTTCTCTCTCAAAAATATACTTACGAAGTTGTTCTAACTTATTAATCTTCACTAACCTTAGCTACTTGCCCCTGATAAATGAATCAACTCGAGCTCCATCATGTACTATTTACATCATCAATCCCTCTCCCGTTCCCCAAACAACGAGTTCCAGTGGAACAGAACAAATAATGTCGAGCCAAGAGCACCCCAATTTCTATATCCTATAAAAAAAAAAATAGCGGATGTAAGAATCCACAGCTAATCTAATCATGTCTTTCAAGCCGCACGTTGCTTTTTTTTTTTACCACATCGCATCGTTTTAAACGAAGTTTTACCATAACATTCTTTTAGGGTATCTAATTGATTCATTCAATTATCAATTATGAAATCGTGAATAGCATTGATTTAATCGATACATAATAATCTATCCTTTTTACTTCTAAGTTTTCCTTCGATATGAATGGGCAATTTCTAAAGTAATAACATAACACGAAGTCACAAAATATAAAATTAATTCGATATTGTTATTGTATGAATAGATTTTCTATTCTATTTGGATAGTTTGTCAAATAGTCAAAATTCATTTATTTAAAAAGAGAAAAATATATATATATATATAATAATAAGAAATAGATTTTTATTAATATATTATAAAATAAATAAAATAAATTTTTTTATATTATACAATTATCCACCGTGATTACAATAAAAACAATAAAATAAAAAGGGCTAATCTTTATTCTGATATACAATTTGTATTCAACAATTTGGATTCAAATAGGATAGCCATCATGACTGAATATGCTCTGGGACGGAAGGATTCGAACCTCCGAATAGCGGGATCAAAACCCGTTGCCTTACCGCTTGGCCACGCCCCATTTTCGATTCGACACTAATAAACACTATTATTAGTATTGGTTGTTCGTCAATTCCAGTTCAAAAATATCTCTAGAAATGGAATAAAAAATTGTTGCTAGGATTTTAATATGCGTAGATGTAGAATTTTAATTAAACTTAAATTATTGATCATTACATAGAATTCAATTAAGATATTGTATGAAAGTATGATTAGATTTCTTCCATTTTTTTATTTAAGAATGAAAAGATTTTTCTTTTTAACTGGCTAAGTTCAAATCAAAGAAGTCTTTTTTTTGGGGGGGGTTGGGGGGTCTGACCTTATTTGACTTATTTTTTTTAAGTATTCCTAATTTATTACTATTAATTAATATCTAAAAATTATAATAAAAATAAAATTATACATATATATATAATAGATTCATATCTATCTAATACAATAAAAATAAGAATTCTATAAAAAATAAAAAATACAATGAATTTTCTTAAAGAACAAAATGTTTGTTATGCTTAATATCTTTAGTTTGGTCTGTATTTGTATTCACTCTACCTTTTATTCAAGTAGTTTTTTCTTGGCGAAATTACCCGAAGCCTACGCTTTTTTAAATCCAATTGTCGATATTATGCCAGTAATACCTCTCTTTTTTTTTCTCTTAGCTTTTGTTTGGCAAGCTGCTGTAAGTTTTCGATGAGATCTTTAATTTGAATAATGTCCTAACAAAAAAAAATTAAGAATTTAATTTATTGGAAAACAAGAATTTGAACATTTTAAAAATTTATAAGATCAGATAAGTCTTACAGCGTGAATCCTCGATTCAAATATTGATATTGAGATTTTTTGATAGACAAGAAAAATCTGGACCATCTCATTATTTCCCGATTCTTACGTTTTTTCTATTGAGAAATCACAATTTTATTTTATTATTACGATTATTTTATTCGATTTGAGTCCACCACCAATACCTAGATTGTGGATATGAAATAAAATTTTTGGTAATAATAATAAAGGGATCGACTCTTACTACAAACAAATTTTCTAATTTTTTCTATTTCCTCGAAAACACTTCCTTTCTTATCTTAGAAGAAACTTAATGTGTAATATAAGAGAATCTATTCTCTTTCTCTGTCGTTTTTTTTTTTTAATTATTCTTGGAGATTTTGTAATGCTTACTCTAAAACTATTTGTTTATACGGTAGTTATATTCTTTGTTTCTCTTTTCATCTTCGGATTCCTATCTAATGACCCTGGACGTAATCCAGGACGTGAAGAATAAAAAAAAATATTTTTGGTTTTCTGTGTTTTGTTTTTCTTGCTTGTGCTGGATCTGTGGATTTTTAAATATTTTTTTATTAGGGTTTTATATATTGTACATTTTTAACTAGTAAATAAAAGAGTAAGTAAAAAAAATCAAACAAAAGAAGCTGTGTCGGTCTGGCTAAAGTATATATCAGATCCATATAAATATCAATATATAAATAAGATAAGTCACGCCTCTGTGACTTACAGCTACAGCACAACGATTCGAATTAAAAGGGTTTGAATAAAATCATGTATGCTATACGCTTTTTCCCTGGGATTGTAGTTCAATTGGTCAGAGCACCGCCCTGTCAAGGCGGAAGCTGCGGGTTCGAGCCCCGTCAGTCCCGATAGATACAAATCCAATAAAATAATAATAAAATACATACATCAATTCTAAAGGATATGCATTTTGAGGATGCTGGATTGGAGTCTTATGCGTTTTTAAATCCGGATTTCCTTCTTTTGTGTTTTGTATCATGATTGACTAAATGCCATTTTTGGGATAATTGTAATTCTAATTATGGTAACACTGGATATGTGTAGCAATGGGTATTTGGAAAACCCATAGCTAATTGTATGCGGTAGTTAGTGGGAAGTATTAATATGAATCATGTTTTTCTGCAGTTAAGGGCAACATGGTATGAAATCGATTTAGTATGACTTAAAGTTATGAGATAATTAAAGAAATGGGTAATGCAATAGATTAAAAGAAAAGTATGCATGATGTAACATGGGAAATTAAGCCTAAAGGTTTAAAATAAAAGAAAAATTTTCCAGGGTAGAATTTGGGTCCTTACATTATGATATCCGAGCATAGTTAATTCTGCAGCCTAGGGTATGGCCTTACTTGCTTCTTTGTAACATGTTTGTGATTTAACTAGTGGAAATTATATGAATTGACTGTTTAAAGCATGTAGCCTTGGTGTAATGATATGAAATGTGCTATGAAACTATGTGATAACCTGAATTATGTGAGTTAGATTTGTGTGCTGACCATCGATAAGTACAGGTTAAGGAATGGCTGAAAGAGGAAGAGGAAGAGGAACGAGCCAAAATGTTCCGAACGATCTATTGGCACAGATGGAGGTTGCACTGCAGCAAGTGAATGAGATCTTGCATAGCCTGAACCAGAACACAACACCGAGTCCTAGCTCGCAACCTTTGGTTCCACCAGAACCGGCCGAGTACCGAGGATTAGGCGAGTTCTGTAAGCAGAAGCCTAAACTGTTCCAAGGGGGATTCGCTCCAGATGCGGCGGATGAATGGGTTCTATGCTTGGAGAGGATATTTCGAGCCATGGGTTATGGCGATGTTCAAAAGGTAACCTATGCTTCCTACATTCTGGCGAATGAAGCTGAAAACTAGTGGGAGATGACCCGGCGTCAGATGGAAACGGAGGGGCGAGTGATTACCTGGATTGCATTCAAGGAGAAATTTCTTCAGAAATATTTTCCTGCTGATCTGAAGAGGAAGAAAGAAATGGAGTTTCTGAGGTTGGAGGAGGGTAATCTGTAAGTGGGAGAATATGTAGCCAAGTTCGAGGAATTGGCCCGATTTTGTCCCTAATTTGAATTGGAGGTGGACGGAAGGTCCAAATGCTCTAAGTTTGAATCGGGTTTGAAGCCCAAGTTGAAAAGTATGTTTGGGCATCAAGAGATTGCCGACTTTGCTACTTTGGTAAACAAGTGCATGATGTATGATGATGACCTGACAGCTGATGAGGTGGTGACACCTAGAGCCAATCCTCCGAGAAACTTCGGCCCTCAGAGGAATCATACCCAAGGCAAGGGTATGGGAAAGATGTTTGAGGATAACCGCAAACCTTATGCGACGCCTACTAGTTATCGTGGCCAAAACTATCAAGGATCGAGACCTTCAGTTGTTCCTAGTGGGGTTGCTTCTACTCCTTTGTGTGACAAGTGTGGCCGACTCCACTATGGGAACATATGCTCGGGGTCAGAAAATAGATGTTTCCACTGCAAGGAGTTGGGACACAACAAAAGGTTTTGTCCCAAACTGAGTCAGCGGCTAAATGTCGCTCATGCCGAGAGAGCAAGGAACACGGGCAGAGTGTTTACCATGAGCGGTGCGGTGGCAGAAAATGTGGATGGCCTCATCCAATGTAAATGCATGGTGACAGATATTCCTCTTTAGTGTTGTTTGATTTGGGAGCGACACATTCCTTTGTATCTATTGAATGCGTGGATAGACTGAAATTGCAAACTGAGTCGTTGCCTTTCTTTCGACTTGGTCGTATCCACCCCAACCAGTGTGCCTGTGGTGGTGTCGATGGTTGTGTCTGTAAGAACCCAAATTCTACCATTGAAATTTTTTCCTTATTTTAATCCAGTTATTACTACAAACTCCACTACACTATAATTAGTCAATTTTCGTTACTTAAATTTTAGTTAACGTACTATACTAAGACCCTTTTCCAATAGACAAAAAAACATAATTCATATATTTGCCTCTCGGTAATTACCGCATATGACTAGCTATGGGATTCCAAAATACCCATAGCTATGAATATCCAGCATTACAAAAATGTAGAACTAAATCAGTTAGGATTTACAATCACCCAAGTAACATGTTATATCAATCAAAAAGCAAAATAAGGATTCCAAGTTCTAAGCTCCTAATGCCTCGAACCGAGCATCCTCAACTATCCTGTTTACATGCAATGGGATTATCACGGCAGATATACACAACAAACAAAGGAGTAAGTCATTAATTCAATAAATATCATTAAGCGATAATCCATACTTTTAAAGGTTTAAATAAACGACTACACGTTCATCTTTACGTTCATCTTTACCATATCATATTTTTCCGTCTCATACCATCCCATCCATCACATTGGATCTATACGTTCATCTTTACCATACCTCGTCACCTCATTCTTCAATACCACCTCATATCGTTACCTTCCACATATACGTTTACCTTCTCAATACCACATAGGGAAAGTCATACACAATACCACATAGGGCAAGTCATACACAATACCACATAGGGCAAGTCATACACAATACCACATAGGGCAAGTCATACACAATACCACATAGGGCAAGTCATACACAATACCACATAGGGCAAGTCATACACAATACCACATAGGGCAAGTCATACATGATGTCACATAGGACAAGTCATTCTCAATACCACATCAGGCAAGTCATACACGACTCATATACTTAATCAGAAAATCCACACATTTTCTATTATCATATACCATTAATCACTTCTCCTTACCTCGGTACGTGTCGGGGTTGGTTTTGGACAACTTTGCAAGTTCCTTCGCTACCTCCTCCAACCTTAGGATCTTTCATTATCCCCACCACATAACAATAATGTCAGTCATTTATTCCAAATATCACATAAACAACTTATATTGCATTATTCAACCATACAAGACATTCATCATATTTTCAATGTTTCTAAACTACTTTCATCACAAGTTTACAACCATCTAAAACATACATATCCATCTCTTATTTCAACATTAGAATATTTAATCATCTTCTACCTCTAGCATTTTACCCATTTTCCACTTTAACCACATTTTCACTTTAGGGTTTTGGGGTTTTCTTGAATCAACCCACAAATCCTTTCCATTGTTAAAATACTAACTCTAAATCAAGAGTTTACAAGATAAAAACAACATAAAACGAACCATAACTCAAAATGGTGAGTTTCCATGGTTTCTCATATTTTGAGAAGAGATCCACCATACACAAAATGAG